GGTTGACTGAGGACTTAGTTGTCTCTGAGGACAGGGTTGGCCCAGCTTTTCACCCAGATGTGTCTTCCCTTAGAGTCTGCTGTGATCAAAGGGTAGACTGTTTCCTGTCATAATTCCTTTGCATCAGCTATAGGCATGAAGATGGCCTACCATGGCCTTCTGCTTATGGCTGGTCTAGGGCTTACTCAATCCAACTTCCAGGAGGTGGAGGGCTAAACAGATGAGCAGTAGACTCTCCAATCCTGCTGCTTTGTGGTCGATTCTGCCAGTGCACCCTGGTGCCTGAATTCATAGCATGATGTGGGTATGCTGAGCTTCCCTGATCCCCAATATTACCCCTGGCCTGAATGACTTTTGAATTCTGCTGCATGACTGGTAAACTGTCTCGTGAAGTTTGCTGCTTCCCTGAGGCTATTATGTGGCATCTTTTTCAGGGCATTACTTCGCTCAGGGAACTAATATCTCTTGCCCCCTGTGAGGTTCCTCTTAACATTCCTCTCAGATTCTGTCTGCCGTTCTCTCATCCTCACCTCCCACATGTTCGCTTTGTGCTTTCATAAATAGCCAGGCTCCTTGAACAGCTTCTATAGAAGCTTAAAGGTAACATCTTTTGTATCTATACAGTATTTTATATTCTTCAAAGCACTTCAATATACATATTATCATTTGATCTTCACAAAAATCTTTCAGATAAGTAGGTTAGGTGTATTATCCTGATTTTACCGATGATGAAATAGACAGAGTAATTAGGTGACTTTCTCATCCTCAGAGACTTTATTAATGTGGAACTGGTATTAAAGCCTGAGTTGATTTTGGTTGATTTCATTCATTCATCCATCCATCCATCTAGTCAGCCATCCATCCATGCACTCATATTATATGGAGAAGACCCCAAATGGAAAGAACCAGGGCTTTCAAACCAGACAAAATTGAGTTTGAAACATGGTGCCATCCCTTATTAGCTATGTAATCTTGATCATGCACTTCAACCATTCAGAAGATCAGTTTCCTCATTTGTAATACAGGGGAAGATTATGATTTCTAATGTTTTCATGAGGATCTACAATGCATAAAAATTGCCTGGCAATCACATTGTGTGGCACATAGGTACGCTGAACTGTTTTAAGTCAAAAACGGTCAAATATCAGAAATTTTATTATCCTACTTAGAGAAACACAATATTGGTCACCATTTATTGAGTTCTTCATTATTGCATATGGGTGTCTGTGAGATCTCAAGAATGTAGATAGAAATGAGAGTGCATATGCTTTATGTGTCTATATCTTCTGTTAGCCCATGATCCTGAGCAGTAAAGCTTGTGTCTGTGTCATCCTTGGCATCAAGAACCAAGTCTGATAGAGAGTAGTAATCATTAAGAGTTTACCGAGCTGGGTGGTGCCTGTGGCTCAGTGGGTAGGGTAATGGCCCCATATACTGAGAGTGGTAGGTTCGAACCCAGCCCTGGCCAAACTGCAACAACAAAAAAATAGCCAGATGTTTTGGTGGGCGCCTATAGTCCCAGCTACTTGGGAGGCTGAGGCAAGAGAATTGCCTAAGCCCAGGAGTTGGAGGTTGCTGTGAGCAGTGATGAATGATGCTACAGCACTCTACTGAGGGCGATAGAATGAGACTCTGTCTCTAAAAAAAAAAAAAAAGAGTTTACTGAGCTGAAAAGGCTCCTGCTCACAAGGAAGTCATCAACTACTCAAGGTAGGCACACACGTAATCACGTAGTTATGATGAAGTGCTACATGTAGTTGGACAGAAATGTAAAAGCGGTGGCAAGATACCAAAGGAATTAGTACTCAGTGATGCTGGGGGAGGGACGGGGGGTGAAGTGTGCGGGACAGCAGGGGGAAAAGCATCACAGAGCAGGTCCGTCAAGACTCATTAGGGCCTGTCTGAACAAGGGAGAAAAACCACTTTGCTTATCTTGGACTGCATGCTTTCTCCCAGCCAACCCCCTTCTAACATTTGAAATTGAGTTTGTATTCAAAGCAGCCTCTTTGTTTGTCTCACAGTTACTGGTATCTCCCATAATGTATTGCTCTGTAAAGTGCATTGCTCTGTTCTGAGTATAAAAGAGATGCTCGGTAGAGCTAGATTCTATTCTTTGAGTGTCACAACTAGCCATTGTATAACAAAGCATAATATATATGGTGTAAGAAGAAATAGAGGAACACAAGAGATATTTTAGAGAGGGAAAATAAAACATCAAGTGGGAGAGTGTAGAGTGCATTAAAGTTAATAAACTGTCATGGCAGAGGGGACCGCTTTTAAATGTGAAGGAAACTAATTCAGTGACTTGTAACTGCAGGATTAGAATCCTACTGAAATGAAGAGAGCCATGAGTTTTGCCAAATTCTAAATCTTTTGGTTCTTCTTGACAACCAGTTCTTGGAATTGAATGGATTATATATATACAATATTACAGGATATATATACATATATACATATATATATATGTATATTTTGTCCGTAGCTCTTTGTGATACTAAATCCATCTGTCTTCCTCTGAATATTCACTGCTGTTCAACTCTCTATATAGTGTTGCTTTTCTTTTAGCTCTGGGAGGAGGAATTTACCTGGTATATTGGGTACAGCCCATCAGCATGGGTTTTCAGGGCTCATGTAGTCATTCCTGTTTTCATGGAGACGCTGAGACCAGAAAACTGTCAGAAGTACAGGAATAAACTTTGTTCTGGTGTGAACCACTGAGCTACTCGTCTTATTCACAGGAGAGAGACAAGGCAAATCGATACAGGTCCCCTTCTTGGCAGTATTAAAAGATGACTAAAACAGTAAGAGTTCCAAAATGTTTTTTGCCAAAAACTGGATTGGATTTTGTGCTTCTTCAGCCAAAAAATGTCCCCTGCATCTTACTCTCAAATCATTAATGCCCTTTGCAGTCAAGACTGACTTCTCAGCCTGAATGCTTCTTTGTCTTTCTTTATTCAAAATCTTCATAATAATATAGTTTTTTCTTTTCATTAGCTAAACGCTCAAAGTTTTTAGCCTTCTAACCTCTCAATTTTTTTTCAAATAAGCAGGAGAACTTAAACACATTTTTATCCTCGATTGCACCTTCTTTCCCTTTGTAGGAGAATGAGAGTCCCTGGTTTGGGTTCTGGGTACAGTTTGTAGAATACTTCCTTGAAATATAAAAAGGCTAAGTGTATGTTTTGGCATTTTGGTGTTATAACGCCATTGTCTGTGTGCAATTACATAACTATTTTCAGGTTCAGTTTCTCCATTTGAGAAATGGGAATAAAATGTCGTTTCCACAGGGACCAAAGATACTGAATATGAGGAAATGCCTAATATAGTGTACATATGCATTTACCAGATGTACAATAAAGGATTATTTAAAAGAAATCAAAGCAACATCAGCAGGCAGTAAGTTCTGTTAAAATAAGAGGAGAGAATAATGAGAAGCCTCAAGAGAAATGAACAAGGCTTATATCTGTAAACCACTGTGTCTTTAGTCTGATTCATAGTGCAAGATTTAGGGCCATATGTAGAAGTTAAAAAGGCAGGAGCACCTTGTAGGTAAAAGATGGTGAATCATATGCAGATATGGAGTCACCATTATAAGATGCCATCAGAGAAAAAAAATGGAAAATTTTCAAAGGTGGCTCTAACATTATTTACTGCAGCTCTTAATAATATTTGTTTCCATATTTGTTGTATAAACAGATCAGAATAACAGCATTCTTTGTAATAATTGGTCAAGACTGACTTCTCAACCTGAATGCTTCTTTATCTTTCTTTATCCAAAACCTTCATAATAATATTTTTTTCAGGGTGGCGCATGTGGCTCAAAGGAGTAGGGTCCCAGCCCCATATACCGGAGGTGGTGGGTTCAAACCCAGCCCTGGTCAAAAGCTGAAAAAAAAAAAAAAAGAAGAAAGTTCTTTGCTAAGAGCAGTGTGGTCTATATAGTTCCACGATATTACTGAGTGAGGAGCAGCTAAGTGC